GTCTCTTAGAGCCTCCTGAGCAAAACCCTGGTCCCTGCTTTAAGGCACTTTAATGGATTTGTAACTATAAAGGACCAGTGCAGTGTTCTGTAGTCAAGTGGGGTTTTTGGGTTATCCTAAAGGTTTTGGTTATACCCTGACATTTTTGAACGGCAAACAAACTTGGCCAGCACAAGTAAGTGATCATGTGGGTGGATTAAATAACAGTAGTATAGAGACCAGGAGACTAATGTAGATGGAGAACATGCTGAGGTGGTGAATGAACAAAGTGGGGAGTTGAAAAAGGTCAGGAGATGCAAAGAGTTACATCAGATATTTTTATTAGCACTGTGTACTGACAAGAATATGGCGATACGATATGTATCATGATACAGGGGTTACGATTCGATATATTACAGTTTTTAAAAAACTCCAATTTTTGGAAAACTGTCATAAAATGAGCAACACACCACCATATGCATAAAATCTCCTGTAAGACGTCCCTGTAACATCCAACCATATAGCACTACTTGTGAGCTAATTAAAAATTGATATTGCGTTTTTGACAATCGATATAGTATCACAAAATGTAGTATTATGATACTAAGTGTATCAATATTTTCTTACACCCCAAATTCTTATGGCACTATGTATTCTTAAAGTAGACTTTACTTAAAACCCAGTGTCAGAGCCTTTTCCTTCCGTTTCTTTGATGAGTATGAGGTTTTGTCATGTGCACATTTGAAAGTATTTAGAGGTTTGGGGTCACCTCCATGTTTCCACCTGTCATTCCTTATACAGCTGAAGTCAAACAGTTACAGCCTGTACACAGCCTGGATGTGTTTGTGGCTCATTCTCCTGCTATAGGGTAAAACCCTGAGAAGCTCTGACTTCCTGTGTTAATGGCCTTTCTCCGGTGATGCATCAGAGGGTGCAGTAACACAGTCTTTTCCAACGCTGCCCTTGTACAGAGAGAATTAGCTGTTGTAAGTCATCAGCAAAGGTCGGGACACTTGTTTGTTTGCATCAGGCTTCATTTTCTTCCACTGTTGCAGAAAAGATGGAACCTGTTGCTAGGTCCCTGAAAAAGTCCTGGTTTATGTACTTAGTGACATTTGTTTGTTTTACCTCTGGCAGTTTACGACTTACCATGTTACCATATAAGGTTATTGACCAGACTTGGAACTACTTACCTGTCCCAGACTTTTGAACGGTAGCGCAAATGATTGAATAAAGGCTGAAAATTTGTTGTTGTACGTTCATGGTTCTTGTAACTTTGAGCCTTTCCTCTAGTGCAGCCATCAAGTTAAAATTTTGTCAGTGATAAAAAAAAAAACCTATCTGTGTTCATAGTCTTGAGGGAATTCATCATTTGTGGATATCTAACATCCATTCCCTCTAACATTGCATTTAAATTTCCATGTT